CATATATCGGTATTATATACCTTTTTATTGCTGAGTTAAAATCAGTTGTATAACTATGCTATAGTTTACTTATCCACTTCCCTGTTGATAGACACCTAGTTGCCTGTTTTGGATGTTATGAATAGAGTTTCTATGAATATTCTCATGCAAGTTTTTTTGTGGACATATGTTTATATTTTTCTAAGAATGGAATCGCTGGGACATAACAGGTATATGTTTAGTTGTCTGCTGATAACATATGGAATTAAGTTGATTTTTGTGTATTTACCTTTATTCTATGATTTTGCTAAATATATGATAAAATATTGCTAATTTACTTATTAGTTTTTTTCCCCTACCTTTAAAAAGTGTATTTCTGGCTCCACTTATGGTAATAATGAAGTACCCTCTATTGTACCTACGCTCCCAAAGATACAAATTATAAACCCGGACAAACATTTTTTTTTAATTTTTTTTAAAGATTTTATTTATTTGACACAGAGAGAGAGACAGCAAGGGCAGGAACATAAGCAGGGGGAGTGGGAGAGGGAGAAGCAGGCTTCCAGCCAAGCAGGGAGCCCGAAGCAGGGCTCGATCCCAGGACCCTGGGATCATGACCTGAGCCAAAGGCAGACACCTAACGACTGAGCCACCCAGGTGCCCCATGGACAAAATATTTTTAAAAAACTATCCAAAAGTACTGGAAAGTGGCCCCAAACAGGCAGAAACTCAAAAAGAGAAGACATTTAGAAGAGATGACTAGCACTGGGTGAGTTTTTTCCATTTTTATGGTTTTTTGTCTGAAAGCAGGCACCAGTCAACACCCTGTGGGAGGATCCACAGTCTTAACTGGCTTAAAGAACCAAAGGAGGGAGTTCAGGGCAACCACAGCAGCTAGGAAGTGACAGAGAATTCCTAGAAAGGAAAGAGATAAAAGAAAGGCCCCAAATGCTGCATATAAATTCTGCCCAAAACTCTGGCTGACTTCTGAATTTGGCATGCCTTTGGAAAACACCAAACATCTCAGCTACTAAAATGATGGGAACAAAAATTTCAACTGATGACAACCACAAAGAAGACAGAGTTTAGACACAGTTTGAGCACAGCCTGATAAAACAAATAAACAAAAATCAACATTCTTCAGACAGACAAAATAGAATCCAGAGACTATATCATTTAGTGTCCAGGATACAATCCAAAATTATTAGACATATGGAGAAACTGGAAAATGTGTCCCCTATTCACAAGAAAATGCAATCAATGGAGACAGACCCTGGGGTGATACATACAGATGTTGGAATTAGCTGACAAATTTTGAAAACAGTTAATGAAAATATACTTAAGGACATAAATAAAAATATGCTCATAATGAATGTACAGACAGCATACATCATTGGAGAAATAGTAACTACAAAAGAAAACCAAATGTAATTTCTATTAATGAAAAATAAAATATCAGAAATAAAAAATTCACTGGATAGGCGTAATAGTATATAGGAGATGTATAGAGTATACAGGAGATCCCAGGGCCCTGGGATCATGAGCTGAGCAGAAGGCAGATGCTTAACGACTGAGCCACCCAGGTGCCCCTAAAAACTCTTATTCTTAAAGAAACAACAATAGGGGCGCCTGGATGGCTCAATCAGTTAAGTGTCTGACTCTTGATTTTGGCTCAGGTCATGATCTCAGGGTCGTGAGATCGAGCCCTTCATAGGGCTCTGGCTTCACACTGGGCATGGAGCATGCTTAAGATTCTCTCTCCCTGTGCCCCTCCTCGCCTCTGCTTGCATGTGCTTGCGTGCACGTTCTCTCTTTCTTTTTTTTTTTTTTAAGATTTTATTTATTTATTTGACAGAGAGAGAGGGAACACAAGCAGGGGGAGTGGGAGAGGGAGAAGCAGGCCTCCCGCAAAGCAGGGAGCCCGACAAGGGGCTTGATCCCAAAACCCTGGGATCATGACCTGAGCCGAAGGCAGATGCTTAACAACTGAGCCACCCAGGCGCCTCCTCTCTTTCTAAAAAAAAAGAAAGTAAATAAAAATAAATAAATAAATAAATAAAAGAAAGTAAAAAAAGAAACAACAACAAAATACCCTAATAAAAAAATGGGCAAAGGACATGCTATGGTCTGAATGTGTGTGTCCCGCCAAAATTCTTATATTGCAATCCTAATACCCTGTGTGATGGTATTAGGAGGTGGAGGCTTCTGGGAGTGATTAGGTCATGAGGGTGGAGTCCTCATGAATAGGATTAGTGTCTTATAAAAGATCCTGGAGAGTTCCCTAGCCCCTTCTGCCATGTGAAGATAAGGAGAAATCTGCCACCTGGAAGAGAGCCCTCACCCAACCATGCCAGTGCCCTGATCACAGACTTCTAGCCTCTAGGACTGTGAGAAATAAGTTTCTTTTGTTTACCAGCCACTCAGTCTGTCGTATATTGTTAGCCTGAACAGACTAAGACAGACATAAAACATCATTTCACAAAAGAGAACACATACTGGCCAATAAACATATGAAGAAAGAAATCCCCAACTTTTCTTGAAGGAATGCAAAAAGAAACAATAAGATTCTTTTTTTTTTTTTTTTAAAGATTTTTATTTATTTATTCGAGAGAGAGAGAATGAGAGAGAGCACATGAGAGGGGTTAGGGTCAGAGGGAGAAGCAGGCTCCCCGCCGAGCAGGGAGCCCGATGCGGGACTCGATCCCAGGACTCCAGGATCATGACCCGAGCCGAAGGCAGTCGCTTAACCAACTGAGCCACCCAGGCGCCCGAAACAATAAGATTCTTTCATCCAGTATGAGCAACCACTGTTTTTGGATGCTAGGGAGTGAACAAAACAGACAAAAATCCTAGAGATAGGAAACAGACAATAGAAAACAAACATTATAAACATATATAATATAATATAATAAGGCAAAAGGTAGTAAATGGGAGAAGTCGAAATTTTGTTTATTCCTCTCAGTGAGTTTATCACTCTCTGAAATGACCTTGTTCATTACTGGGATCCAGCACCTAGAACAGTGTCTGGCACGTAGTAAGTTGAATGACTATATGAGAAAATGTTTTCTGACATTTTTAGAGAAATTCTTTCCTACCTTTTATTTTCATCTACCATCCATATATAATGATATTATGTAAGTCCAGATAAAGTCAACACAGACAGAGTAAAGATATTGGAATGTTATTGAGGATCAAGAAGAAGTTGGGGACTAGAGTTGTGTAAGCATCATTGTCACCTGCGCCTCGAGGGCACCAATCTGTGGGAGTAAGGATCTCAGGATCTCCCCCTCTAGCACTGATGAGCCAGCCTACCTGGCTCACCTATTTCCTTTTTTCCATTCTTATCACCAGTTAACATATGAGATAATCTACTCATTTATAATTACTGTTATAAGTATTGTTTGCTCCCCACCCCCACCTCACCCCATACCATTTTGAGTTTCATGAAGGCAAGGATCCTATTCTGTTATTGCTGGTACTGAATAGATACTCAACCAAGAGTGCAATGAATGGATGAATGAATGAATGTCTCAAAAGAAAGAAAGGAATCTGGGAAGGTCTTGAATTCTCGCTCTTCCTCCAAGTCTTCCCAGGGTAAGGTCACCCCCTCCTTTGCACAGTCTACATTCCAAGACACTAGAGACAAAACCTCCATGAGGCATAAATATTTACTGGTTTGTTCATTCTTAGAATGGCTTTACACCTATATTTATACACCCATCCTTCTGTGTGCCCGGTGATGTTTTGTATGTGAACTCTTTGTTCGTTCTAGAGGTTGCTTAAGGAGGAATTTAACTTAATATTTATGACATCATGATAGGACAAAATCAGATCAAGTTGAGCTCCATCCTCTAGAGGCTATTTCCTCTATAAGTGGAGACTACTTTTCCTCTTCCCTGAAGAAAAATCTGGTAGTTGTTTAAATACTGGATAAAGTTGAGCTCTTAAATTTATCATCAAGAAGGTACTGGAAAAAGGGGGGGGGCAACAGAATACAAGAGCAGTAAAAGTACCACACGTTTGGAGGGAGTACCTACTTCAAAATTTTCCCAATTAGCCGCTTTCTCTCTTACTTTCGAGTTTTCTTAGGGTGATGAAATGAAAATATTCTGTTCTTGGTTATTTTTCACAAATCTTATTTTCTTCATGAAAACTTCCCAGCCCCTCAAAAAATCAACAGAGGGAAATTCTTTAAAAAATACAGTAAATCATGTTCTTGTCTTTGAAACAACTATGGTAGGAAGAGAAATTCTTCCCTTTAGTTTGAAGAGTCATGCTTTTAAGTTGTTTGGTGGTGGTTACATCTGATCTTCATATAAACTTGTATCTCTCTTGTTTAAAAGAAAAGATGAAAGAATGGAATTAGCTCATTAATTATTTAAAATACTTGGTGCAACTGTTCCTTATGAATTAATCCAGGCACTTGGAAGACAATTACACTCAGTGTTAATAACATTGCCAACCTTTTCCAGTATGCTGCACTCCAAATACTATTGTTTTCATTGACAACATTCACTATTACATATGCATATGAAAAACAGGCATTTTCATCGGAATTACCGTAATAGCATTAAGAGATTATTATTTTTTCCAATTTCCTTGGAAGAAAATTCACTCAAATTAGATTATTTATTACTTGACTGCTCTCCTATCTTGCCTGTATGTTTAGGTAACTGGAGTCCATGAAAGTATAAACTTCAGAATAAAAGGCATGATTTTATACATTAATGATTTCAAATAAAAGAGGAGTGCTAGTTTGTGCATCACTTCTTCTGAGAAAGTTAAGTCTGTGTTCTGCTTAGGAGAGATAACACTTTTTGTCCCTGTAGGTGGCCCCCCTGGTGTAGCCATTAGTTGCTAATTACTTGCAAACAAATAAACAATTAACTCCTCAAGCTGCTGGCTGGGCGAGTGTTCATTGACATGCTAAAACTTTCTAAAACAGGATTTTAATTCGTGACGTTCTAAATCCAGCCCCCTTGTCTGTGGAGCCAAAAGGTGAACTGCAGGAAGATCCCAGCCCTGTACACATGGGGTAGAGCCAGCCAGGAGGCAGGAGAGGCCAGAGCTGTCGTTCTGGGCAGCCCACTCGAGGATGGCTCCCAGTCTTCCGGAAAGTGCTCGGCTTGGGGAAAGCAAACCCTCGCCTTGCTCCTTTTCAATTGAGAGCATTTTAGGATTGGACCAGAAGAAAGACTGTGTTCCTTCAGTGAAACACCACAGACCGTGGGCAGACACCTGCAGCTCCTCAGGTACGCCACAATTTGTTTGTTTGTTTGTTTCTTTGTTGTTTTCGTCTGCAGTCTTTATTTTGCCCTTTATTCCATACTACATCAAGTTAGAGAAAAACTGCAATTTCATCGAATTATATAAATGAAGTATCGGGGATTTTAATGCCTCCCGATGAGTTCCATAGGAAATAAAAAAGAATATCAGCCTTAGATCCAAGCGGGTATAAAGTTCATTCACAGGAATTGCCAAGAAGCTGCATTTATTTCAAAAGGTCTCTTTTATTTGACACATCACATATTCTATGTTTTCGCTGAAAAATAAATGACATTCAGAGATCAAAATGTTCTCTAGCACCAAGGCAGGATCTTTATTTTTGTTTGCTTTTTGGTTTTGGTTGATGAGAGGTCAGTTTTTTTGTGAAACCCAGAAGAATTCCAGTAGGAAAATTAAAGACAATTTCCTGATATTACTTCTTCTAGAACTTTGTGGAATACAGGATTGAACATCTAAGATGGAGTGTATTTTTCTGGGTTTTTTTTGTGTGTGTGTGTTTTTTTTAAACAGTCTCAGGAACCGATTTATTTCTTCATTGCAGGGGGTTTCTAATTATTTTTCTGTTTTTAGGGAAAGATGTTAACCTATGTGTGCATATCCCGAGCCTTTCTAATGGGGTCTCATTCCCTTGTACTGTGGATCACCCAGTACCAGAAGAAAGATTTTTGAAATACGAAAATTACTTTTCAGCCTCAGAAAGACTGTCTTTGAAAAGAGAGCTGAGTTGGTATAGAGGCCGGAGACCCAGAACTGCTTTTACTCAAAACCAGGTGGGAAGTTTTTTTCAACTAGTAATGATAATATAAAGGCTTTAACTGACACCCTATTGAGCAAAAGCCCAATCACTTTGGGATCGCAGTTTAGAAGCCTTGTTAATGAAAAATAGGCTGTATGGAGTTGTTTTTTTTTTAAAAAAACAGTTTCTGGATAGTCACTTTTTTAAAAAGGCATACATAAATTAATTGCCTAAGATCTAAATGCAATTATATGTAAGCTAAAGTCCATTTTATGATGACATACCAAATATCAACATTTTATGTAACTATTTCCTTATTCTTAGATTGAAGTGTTGGAAAACGTCTTTAGAGTTAACTGCTACCCGGGCATTGATATCAGAGAAGACTTAGCTCGAAAATTGAATCTAGAGGAAGACAGAATCCAGGTAATTTTCAAATTTAGTTGTTACTTGTGATGATTGAAATGTTAAGAATAATAAAATAATGTTTCTGAGATCTATTTTATTTTTCCTTAATTTTAGATCTGGTTCCAAAATCGGCGTGCAAAGCTGAAAAGGTCCCATAGAGAATCACAGTTTCTAATGGCGAAAAAAAATTTCAACACAAATCTCCTGGAATAGATAGAAACTAAATACGTGAGATTATCTTACAATTGCAGAACATGAAGAATCAATGGAAATATCAAGTGTTAAAAACGTGTTTTCTTTTCTGCATTTAATCTAAGTGTTGTCATTTTTTCCCTAAAATATATTGTAAATATTTACTGTTATAACATGGTACCTATTATACTTGGCACTTTTAGTTACAATAAAGGCCTTTCCTATATATTTTAACAAAATTTTCATAAAAAGCCAGCTATTTTTTAAGTGAGCAAATTTAATCTAATTAATTAGTTCGTTAAAACTCATGACTAGGTGATTCCACAAGCTGGATTCAATTTGCAAAATAATTCAAGTAAAATAATCTGAAGAACGGCACAAAGATCTGATCTGTTTCAATTACTTTTCTTCAAGTGCATTTTGAAACATGATTATTAGGTTCTCTTAATTTCTGGCATGAAGCAGTGAAAATTTCTCACCATCAATACAAATCCTTCTAGCATGCTAGTTTCAAGTTTGTTTGTTTTTTTTAAGCAAAATCATAATGGCAAGGTAGAGATAGAAAGGTATCAGTTGTCATATTCATATATATTATATTGCAAAAAGACTCAAACTGGAAATAAATGCAAATTTTTAAAATATTTCCTAGTTATTTAATGTTGTGTTTTACTTTCATTCATTAAAGTAATAATGATCATCTGGCTTGTATCTATTTCTAGTTTAGTGATTTCCAATCAACTGCATATTTTGTTATTACAGTAAATCGTCGACGGAGAAGGTAGGGTAACTGAGCTGCCCTTTGTATGTGCTGTGACATAGTTGCTGGATATAATCAGGGCACTTTTTTGGGACAAAAACTATGTATTTTCCTTGCATTTGCCATTGTACCTGCCAATTAAAGATGAGAACAGGTAAGATGCATCACAAGAAGGAAATCCTACCACTGGATGTCTGGTTATTTGTTTTCTAGTTAATTAGTGGAAGGCCCAAGTGGCTATTCTTTTTGAGATGTTTGCTTGAGGACTTTGACTTGGTCTCCTGGAAACTGTATTTCAGCTGTGCGCATTGAGTTGAATTCTCCCTTCCCTTTATCTTTCCTGCTCCTCTATCCTCTTCTCTCCCAGTTTAAGGTTCTTGTGGAATTACCGAATCTCTACCCACTCTATACATTTTTGTTTACTTGTTTGTTTGCATGAGAAAGAGGAGGAGTTTGCATCTTACCACTGAGGAAAAGCGATGTGACTCAGATTTTAGAGCTTTTAAAAAATCATTTGGGGAGATAGAGAGCTCTGTGTCCCAACTGCTGGCCAGCAATAGACTGGTTGTATTCTGTTCCACGATTGCTGAGATGGAGAGCGAGGAGGAAAAGAACAGCAGGGCAGCAAACGGAAAACCAGAGTCACTAAATGTTTTCCAAGGATATCTACTGTCAGACTGGGCCATTTTTTCCAATATAAAGAGCTGCTTTCACTAATATAAAATTTGAAGCACTATTTATGAAATATATTAGTAAAAATTGGTCCACCAGGAGCTTTCTTTGCTCTTCATTAGGTGAGTGAAGTTATATTAAGTTGGAGGACTGGAAGTCACCAGGAGCCGGTGGGAGGGGAAAGTATCACGTGATGGATAGGCTTCTTCAAATAGTCTTGTTTTTATCTCCAAGGTCATATTTACATATTGTAAACAAGTCAAGTAGTATAGAAATAGAGGCAACTCTCCCTCAAACCTCATCCTTCATAGATAACCATCATTAAGCATTTCTATCAATCTTTTTGTATATGAAAGCATGTACATATGCACACATATGTATGTGCACGTGTATATATTTGTTGGTTTTGATGTTGTTATTTTCTTAAATGTCATCACATTTGACATTCTGTGCATCTTTCTGACATCTTGCCATGTCAGACATCTAACTATTTCCTTTCTAATGTTTGCTTAGTTTAGGATAGGATTTTAAGTCCTGTACATAACAAGCTATTCCACAATATTAATATTTAGGTATTCTTGAAGTAGTAATTTTCACAAATTTCCATTTTTCAGAGAGTCATCATAGTTTATCTAGAATTTATCTGAAATTGAACCTAACCTCTAAATTTCTGAGGAGTGGGAGGATTCTGTATAAAATGATAGACTTTGGGAAAAAATGAAACATTACAACTAGTAATGCACTTAAATTTGTTTTTTAGTTATAAAAACTGATCATACCTATAAAAAGTATGGGGAGGAAAGAAGCATAGTAACTCTAGAATAACATTATCTCAGTATTTTCCAGTGACAATTTAACGTAACTGATTTATGCGAGCCTAAAATCCAATTTTATCTATAATTGAAATAAGTTGTGTTTACAACTGAAGTTATATATTTATAACTGAAATCATTTATAATGGAAATGATGCATCTATAACAAACAAATAACATTTGGAAGTCAGAAAAACTTAAATAATACTAGAATTTTTTTTTTATTTAAAGATTTTATTTATTTATTTGACAGAGAGAAAGCGAGAGAGGGAACAGAAGCAGGGGGAGTGGGAGAGGGAGAAGCAGGCCTCCTGCTGAGCAGGGAGCCTGATGCAGAGCTCGATCCCAGGACCCTGGGATCATGACCTGAGCTGAAGGCAGACGCTCAACGACCGAGCCACCCAGGCGCCCCAAATAATACTAGAATTTGTGATATTAAAGAAGTAACTATGGGGGCGCCTGGGTGGCTCAGTTGGTTAAGCAACTGCCTTCGGCTCAGGTCATGATCCTGGAGTCCCTGGATCGAGTCCCGCATCAGGCTCCCTGCTCGGCGGGGAGTCTGCTTCTCTCTCTGACCCCCTCCCTCTCATGCTCTCTCTCTCTATCTCATTCTCTCTCTCAAATAAATAAATAAAATCTTTTTAAAAAAAAAAGAAGTAACTATGAATGTAATATGCACATGCTTTTATATTTTCAACCTAACATCATTAAATATTGTAAAGTGAGTCTGTAATATATAATATTCAAGAAACAAGATCATCTGTAAGATCATTAGTGTATTTCCCAAAATCATTTCCAAAACTTAAAAAATAGAGGCTGATCTTGTTAAAGGAAATAATGAGTCAGTAACTTTTTTTTAGCAATTACAACTGTTAGTCATTTGGAGTGACTATAATGATATTCAGGGGAAAAAACTGGACTTTAACTTTGAGGAAAAAGCAAGCAAGATGGAAATGGAAATGAAAACCCAAGATAGAATTATGTTTCCCCCAAAACACACAGGCTCTAATCCACAGCTTATCTTTGCTCCTGGTAATTCCAAGCCATTGTCTCCATTAAGGCCCAGGACAAGGTGAACAGTAGTAACAAATCAAACTAATGCAGTCAGGCTAATACCTAGAGCGTCTCTATTATCTGACGACTGCCTAAATAAGGTTATTTGGTCTCCTGTAATGGTATTTGTCTCTTGTGAAGGCAGCCAGACAAAGCCCATGGCTAGAGAGTGCTGGTGGAAACAATGGCTGTGTGTGCTGGTGGTCACCTTTTGAGTTAATCAGTGTTAATAGCTGCTTTCACTCCCTGCATCTTATCACACATCACACAAATAGCATAAATCCCCCATTACAGAACCCAACACACAGCACCAACCCGGGGCCTTGTCTTTACTTCCAAAGGCAGGAATCTGGGTGCTAGTCCTTTTACTTGATGTGGAACACAAATCAAAGTATGACACGGCAACTTGGCTATCTTCATTTCACTGAGCCCCATGAGACTGAACACCCTTTATGTACCTTCGGCTAAATTTAAAGCTCATTTTAAATATTCTGTCTCCTGCTGGGGGAGCAGTCCACAGGAGCCGAGCAGCCAAGGAAGCTCTGGATGGCTCCCTCCTCTCCACAACTCATTAGTCTCACTCCTTCCCACTTTTCCTCTCTCTTGTTTTCTTATTCCCACCCTTTTCCTTTTCCCCAGCGAATGCCTTGGGAAACTTGTTGGTGTCAACAAGAATTATTGAGTCCCACAAATGAACCTCCAGCCTAAACAGTTTATTGCTTACCTTCCATCTAGTAAAGAGTTCCCAACATTTAGGAACTTCATGTCTGTTCTCTTCTTCCAGGCATCTTCGGATGGCCCACTGGGCATCTCCTTTATTTAGCATTTTATGACTGGGTGATTTCAGTGAAGCAAATGATACCATAGTTTGTGCTCTACTTACTACATTGTAAGTTTGCAAAGAAACATGTACCTGTTATAGCTGGTGTTGGTCAAGAAATTGACTAACTGATTTTGTAGGGCACAACCCCTATTTGATGGTGTGTGGAGCCATCAACACTGCTCTTCCTTGAGCTCTCTAGTTCAGTCAAGTCATCAGTCAAAAAGTACTCATTGGGGGCGCCTGGGTGGCTCAGTCGTTAAGCATCTGCCTTTGGCTCAGGTCATGATCCCAGGGTCCTGGGATCGAGCCCCGCGTCGGGCTCCCTGCTCGGCAGGAAGCCTGCTTCTCCCTCTCCCACTCCCTCTGCTTGTGTTCCCTCTCTCGCTGTGTCTCTCTCTAACAAATAAATAAATAAAATCTTTAAAAAAAAATCTAAAAAAAGTAGTCCCTGGAGGCAGCCTAGCAATGTACTCAAGAGGTTGGGCTAAAGTCTGGTCACCTGGGTTCAAACCCCAATAGGTATTTGACTCTGGGCCAGTTATTCAACCTTTTTGAGCCTTGGTTTCCTCATCTATAAAATGGGAATAAAAAAAGACCTATTTCATAGAATCACTGGGGGACCGAAATGAGATAATGGATAAGGCTTAGACTAATGCCTGGCACATATAAAACACTCAGAAAATGTTCACACTTATTATAATAATGTGCTGGGGAATATAGAAGTAGTAAAGAAAGTTGCCTAGAACAGTGTTGTCATGTCTGGAATATCATGTGGCATATAGTGGGTTCTCAATCAGCAGTCAGAGAACAAATGAAAACAGTTCTTGGTCTCTAGGAGCTCACCATATGGTGGAGGGAAACTGTTGAACTGTTTAACAGTTATTCAACAAGTATTTGTTCAGTGTCTGCCATGAGCCAATCACTCTGTGAGACTCTGGGGATGGAGTGGTGAACAAGTTAA